CTTCCCCTCCACCCAATTAGGTGTTTAGAAAAATACGTGAATTACGTGTTACTGCTATATCTGTTGTACCTCTGAGTCTATGACATATGTAGTGTAGTTAAAATATTATTACATACTAGTTGGAGTACCCGTCCACTGGACTGAAGTTATGTAAATTCATGATTAATGAAAGTTATCTTAGAACATGAAAAGTTGTATCTCTTATATGTAATTGTAAAAAACGTCCATGAAAATTGGAAAACACAAAATGTGAAACCGCAAGTTTGCATGTATCTCCGCATGGACCCAACAAACCTTCATGCCAGATTTGGTGAAGATCCATCAACAGAGGGTGAAGTAGTGGTAGAAAACATAAATACGGCCATAAAAACCGCTAAATGCAAAACTGAAAATTTGTATGCATCTCCCCATGGACCCAATAAACATCCATACCAGATTTGGTGAAGATCCATCTATACCCTGCGAAGTTGTTACACCGACATACAATAGACAACACTATTATATTTATATAGATTCTTCTTTGCTTTAACCCATAAGTTCTTAAAATTTATGCAGTTTCCTCCTGTTGACGCTGTGGTTATAAAAAAAAAGTATGCCCTTTACCATTAAACTGTCGAAGTAAACTTAATTTCACAGAATAAATCTGTTGTACTGAGTTCATTACATGGTATTTCACAAACGCTGATAAAATGTTAAGATATTACAATAACTCAATAGCTAGAGGTGATGAACAAATTCTGACTACATGTTTGAAATCAACATCATCAAATTACCCCGAGTCGCGTGTTTTTGTTCTAGTAGTAAATTTTTTGTTGTTCAATATAAACAAACTAAATGCGCTAGCCCATAGACCGGAAATGGACGAACCTATGTCATTCTTTAAAAGTGGGGGTGATAGACTTTACAGAGTTTAGAAAGTGAAGGGCTTTAATCGGCTATATTCCAGGAGTGTTGAACCTCTTCTTCATTTCCCTGGAGAGGATCAAGCCCCAGTTTCCCGCGTCTTTCGCACAGTTCAACGACAGTAAATTTTATCGTCAGGGTCGATTTGTTAGTTACATGTTCCCTAGGAAAATACGATTCACACAAAATATGTAAACAAAAATACAGTTCAATTAATTTCATTAATTACTGATGGAGTCCCCTGTTTATATTCTCTAGAAAATGATTTCACACAACTATTTTTGGCCAGTACTTTACACCGGGTGTTTTATTAGGAAATGAATCAGTATAATATCTCACTGGTAGTGAACTGTATAAAAACAAGACGCTAATTGGTGAAAAAAGTAGTTATCAAGTTATCAAATTATTTTTCATACTGAAAGTAACTCAAATTGAATATTTGTTGTTAAGCGCAAAGATGCACAGTGAGCTATCAACACTCTGACCACTGCAGGAATCAAATACCGGATTGTAGCGTTTTAAGTCCGTAAACTTACCGCTGATCTACTGAAGAACAACCCAAAGTAAATAGCAATTAAAGTGCGATTGCCCCCCCCTTTTTTTTTCCCAAAGCAGAATAGCCTGGTATTTAGTAGTAAAGACATTGATAAAAATGACATCAGTAAAATTACAAAGTGTGAAAAACAGAAATATTTTATGTTTGTGTTTACGCAAGCCTAATAACTTTTTCCCCACTTTGCATTATTACTTTTGTCATTTTCATCAGTGTCATTATTACCGGAACCATTATATCTGTTGTATTATTATTTTTCCTAAATTCGGTCATCTCGAATCTTCTTGAGACAATTGAAATTATTCCGTAACCCTGAACTGACGTCAGCAGTAATTCGAAATTCGACGTCTCATGTAGCAGCGATATAATTGAAAAATGGCGCTTCTGTTTGAGGGATTCGTTAGTACAGTGTATAGAAACAATAATTTTTGGCATATAAAGCACCACAGCGCCACCCGTCTAACATCGCAATTGGCAATAGCAGTCATTAGCCTTCATTTATGAAGTAAATAGTAGGTCGCAAATACGCACAGTAACCTTCGTGATTTTAAATATCGTTCTTATGTGTGAGATAATTAAAAATAAACTATGATAGAATACACGAAACGAGAACCAACCGAGTTTCGTTTTGTGATTACATGATCACGTGGCAGCTGTGTTCTTGAACATGCGTGATGTGTTTATAGTTATGAATTATGTGATGTATAAAAATCCAAGAAGCGAAAAGCCGGGAACTACCAAACACCGAGTTTTGGCTACCGTGTTAGCTTAGGGTTAGTGTGGTTCATGGCCGGTACGACCAGGGATGGAGCACGTGCGTATGCACAGGCGGCAAGTTCTTGAGGGCGACAAAAATGAATGACCAAAAATTTATTGTGGTCACCAGCTACATCTTGGCCGAGCGAAAACGTCCTCAACAGACAGAATCCACATACAACTAGAAAATAATCGCTGCCTACAGATTCAGCCCAGCATGGCCAAATGGTTAGGGTGCTCGACTCGCAATCTGCGGATCGTAGGTTCGAATCCCTGTCACACCAAACATGCTCGCCCTTTCAGCCGTGGGGGCGTTATAATGTGACAGTCAATCCCACTATTCGTTGGTAAAAGAATTGCCCTAGAGTTGGCGATGGGTGGTGATGACTAGATGCTTTCCCTCTAGTCTTACACTGCTAAATTAGGGGCGGCTAGCGCAGATAGTCCCCGTGTAGTTTTGCGCGAAATTCATAATAAGCAAACCAAACCAAACCAAGCCTACGGATTCACGCAAAATTTGTTGTGGTGGGGGGCACAGTTAGCGTTTGCACAGGGCGGCAAAATACGTCGCTCTGCCCCTAGTGTGGTTATTACTTGCATGAAATGTCTATAAAATTCAACTATATATCGAGTCATTAAAACGTAAAAGAAAATGCTACCTGTTATTATCTTTTTTTTTCAATGCATTAAATATCTATTGTTACTGAACTGTTTGCAAGATCGACAACTTGATTATCGATGATAAGATAATCTGTCGTAAACTTGATATACAAACGTATATGCATGACTGAGCTACCGATTTATTAATTAGAATGACCAGTTATTTAGCTCCGAATCTATAACACTATAATCGGCGTGACTATTTTTCGCTGGGATAAGAATAGTTACATTTTAATTTTCATTGGTAACAGATGAGAACAGATTTATTTGGCCCGTGAACCCTTGAGATATGGTCCTAATTTTGGACCTGGGAGGGTCAGGTGTTCAGTGGAACTCTTCCTCTCTGTGTTTGGACGAAATGACTCGGACCGCCCACTCAAAACTCCGCGGTCTTTTTTCCTACGTTAAACGGAAAAGGGGCGAGGTGTTCTCAGTGTTGGATCGACATATGGTTTCGTCGTATATGTGGACTGGGTAACCTGATTTTATTGTTTCTGACCGAAGGATTATTATTTTAAATATGTCAGGAATACCACTCCATCATGTACGTAGACTCGTTAATCTGCCCATAGATTTCGTCTGCTTCACGTATGTTGTAGTAAGTCTTATTATTTTTAGTGTGAAAAAAATACCAGTCTATCGTTAATGTAGCCTCATTATGAGGTAGAGGGCGCTCTAATAATCGTGTTAGAAATAGTTGGGGTAGTAGAATTTTAATTCGGGACAGTACATTTCTCATGACTCTTATACATTAAAAAAACTACGCTGCTGATTAATTTTTTTTGTCACTATGAAAGATAATTTAGATTTTTTTGTAATAGTGAAACGGTCAGACATTTTCATTGAATATGACATACGCGGAAAACTTCAAATTTCCTGTATGAAACATACCAACTATTATTATCTTCAGAGAGAAAACGCGTTACTGTTATCAACCAGAAGGTAATCGTTTTATTAAGGACAATTCTTCATTTCGTCGGACTAACAACCACAAAGTAATTGTTCATGAACCACGATTTTTCACTGGGTTATGAGAACTGTTATATATGTAACATCTTCAAATGGGCAGCAATCATTAATTTGTTTATGTAGAGACTTTATTGGATGAATGATCTCAAGGGATCTGTTTAGCTCTGAATTATACACGTATAAATGTAGACTGCTGAAGCTATTACAGTCTATACTGGTTGCTTGTCAGGAGTATGTAGGTGTAAACTTAAAACTGCTGAAGCTATTACAGTCTATACTGGTTGCTTGTCAGGAGTATATAGGTGTAAACTTAAGACTGCTGAAGCTATTAGTCTATACTGGTTGCTTATCAGGAGTATATAGGTGTAAAATTAAGACTGCTGAAGCTGTTACAGTCTATACTGGTTGCTTGTCAGGAGTATATAGGTGTAAAATTAAGACTGCTGAAGCTGTTACAGTCTACACTGGTTGCTTGTCAGGAGTATATAAGTGTAAACTTAGGTTGCCGAAGCTGGAAAGTCTGATTATTTCACAGGTAGTATCTCTTCTCTCCCAGTATACCTTACAAGCCAGTCATCATTTAAAGATTGTTTTCTAAAACAAACTTTATTTTTGGAATTTGATACTAAATCAGAATTAAGTGTATTAATCACATTTTGATGCCCAGTTGTTGATTGTATTGTTTGGTGCAGTTTTAACAAAATATAAAAGCAGTATGTGGCTTAGCATCAACTATGAGATTGCCTAGTTTGTCCTGTAATGGTGGGAAAATTCTAGTCATATACGCAGAGAAGCCTCCAGAAATCCAGCTGGCATCTGTGAAAACTCTTTGTGATTTGAACAACTGGGTATGATTTTGTAATTGTTAGTGTTAATTTTCTGTTTAAGAAAAAGTTAAGGACGTACTTTTTGACGTAAGCATAGCCCCATTTTTTTCATATAGAATGTGTTATGTGTAGTAGTCAAAAATTGAAATGCTGTGAGTGTGATTCTAAATAAATTCTCTGAATATTAATCTCTACTTATTGGGTCTGGTGCTAACTTCTAGTGTGGATATTCCCTTTGTTATTTGGAAAATTCGGTATATTTCACTAAAACCTAAACAGTTACAAATAATTTGCATTATATATTTTGTTAAAGAGTGGCATACCAAACAATGAAGATTTATATATATTAAATGCTTCGTTGAGAGGCAGTCTTGAGACCCAACACTGTAGCTGAAGAACTAATACGTTTTGTTTAAGAAGTGTTAAACATATTCACACACATATAACACTGAGGGAGGTATGTACTCTGACGAAGAGTTAGAAGTAGCATTAGTCTGCTGTGACGTGACAAAATATGACCTGATGAAGAATTGAAATTGACATGAAATGCCTTGTTCAACATATATAACAAACATTCGATGCTTCACGAGACAGCAGAACTAACTGTAAATGCGTGCTAAGAAGTGGAATTGACATTTTTACAAATAAGTTACGATTGTAGAGCAACAAAGAGCAGGGCTACAATTTCAGTACCAAATAATTAATCGTGACTCATTTTCAATCTGCTGTGCTCTTTTGTTTTACAACGAACAAATTCATTTAGAAAACTTTCTGAAGAACACAAATAATAATATGTAATAATGCAACTCTCCGTGAAACTGAAGATTTCAAAAGCTGTGATTTAGCAGTTTAAAAACGAGATTTTGTCTGCCTTGTGACGGGAACGTTTTTCAACGTCATGGTGTTTTACGTCACTCGTCACTCAAGGGCTCCGGTAGAGGTCCTTGTAGTCTCCTTACGAGAAGTATCTGCATTAGTTCTGTAGCGTGGGAGTGCGTTTATTGTGACGGCTGTGATCATTTGTAGTAGACCGTTATTTGGGGTCCGCAAATATTCTTTAAGAGACCTCCTAGTTCTTTCCAGCGGGATTTAGGGCTATTGTACAGAATAGAGTCCACCGGCGTTCTCCCGTCTCTGGGCACCACTGTGTGCTGCAGTATGTTCCGTGCTTCTGCTGTGACGCCCCCGGCGAAGCCTGCGCCACCGCCGAGAAACTTTCGCGGCTTGGAAGAAAACATTCATGACAAGTCCTCTGTCAACAAACATCTTTATCCTGGGCCGGAGGTGCTCACCCAAACTCCCTCTCGCCAGCTGACGTCCCCTATTTCTTCATATGGTGGGATGGGATACCGTTTTGCCAGCGTGGAGCGGCTTGTTCAGCGACAACGGATCTATGACAGCAGCCTGGGAAGTCCTGTCCAGAATGCTTTCCTGTCTGATGCTAGCCCTCCAAGTGTAAACGTAAGTTCTACGATTAGTGTACTACTGGCTTAGTTGGCGCGTAACGATGCGGATAATGCGCGAAGCTTCTGCCAGTCATTTGTCTGAGCAAGTGTAGCTGGTAAGATAGCCCATAGACGAGTCTGCAGGATCCATTATTTTATTTTTGTCTGCAGTACTAGAACGACTTTTTCACATACAGATCATATCGCTGCATTTTAAAATAAAGAAATATTCAGTTTTGTATTTAAGCACAACCACTTTTGTTGGCATACTTTAGTTACTTGATATAGTTTTAGAAAGACAGAACCAGGAATAAGTGATTAAATCACCTTATGGGCCAAAAAAAATACATAGCTTTATGTATAACGCCCCTCAGTGGCACAGCGGCATGTCCACGGACTTACAACGTTAAAAATCGGGTTTCGATACCGTGGTGGGCAGAGCACAATTAGCCCATTGTGTAGCTTTGTGCTTAATTACAAATAAATAAACTTGTATATATCATTATTATTGACTTGTAATAACCCAGCACAGGTTTCTAGATTACGGACGGATTGAAATCCATTTCTGACTCCATATTAAAATAATTTTTCTGTCAGTTCTTTGTTTTACATCAAACGTGTTTGAGACGTACCGGATATTTTTTAAGGAGAAGCAACACATTATTATGACATATTGTGAACTTTTTCTGAAGAAGAACCCATACATGCTTAAGAAAGATATTGTTAACCCTTTCTGAAGGAGAAATAGTACATGGTTAAGACGGATATTCTTACCTCTTTCTGAAAGATAAGCAGTACGTAATTAATACGTATACTAACTTTTTCAGAACCAGGGAATACCGAAATGGAGCGAAGTCTTTCAACCCATAGATCTCGGCTAGGGTACACGGTTCTAATCCAGCTAATTAGCTATACGAGTCAATAAACTTTATAAACTTCAACAATGAAATATGTTCCTTTATTTTTCTAATTTCTTGGAATTTTGGAGATTGCAACCCAAAGGGATTCGAAGATATCCACAGTTTTATCGTTCATCAACGCCTACATGATTGGTTGTTTTCAATGAATAATGGGGCGTGTTCTCATTTCCATTTTTTTCTGTAAGAAATCATTTATGCATCAAGAATAATGTATTTTAAGTACCTAAGTTTGTCATCAGTAGACTGTTCAAACGCTATTTTATGGATAAGAATGTGTTCCAGGTACGTGAAGATGTTTGCTAATCATTGTCAGAACAGTATATAATAGCGTCCAATTATCTAAGTAATTTCTATATGAGATATCGCCAAAAATAGATAGTTAGAATCCGTTACCGACAGATCTATTAAGAACATGTCACCTTAACTCTTGCAGACCTGAAGGCTTGAAGGTATCGCCAACAACAGACTGTTAAAGCCATTACCAACAGAACTGTTAATAACATGTCACATTAACTCTTGCAGACCTGAAGGCTTGAAGGTATCGCCAACAATAGACTGTTAAAGCCATTACCAACAGAACTGTTAATAACATGTCACATTAACTCTTGCAGACCTGAAGGCTTGAAGGTATCGCCAACAATAGACTGTTAAAGCCATTACCAACAGAACTGTTAATAACATGTCACATTAACTCTTGCAGACCTGAAGGCTTGAAGGTATCACCAACAATAGACTGTTAAAGCCATTACCAACAGAACTGTTAATAACATGTCACATTAACTCTTGCAGAACTGGAGGCTCGCAGATATCGCCAAGAAAAATTTAGGCTGTTAGAATCTAATAACTACATAACATTATTAAAGCTAGTTGAAATTTCAAGTTTTTCATTTGTTTATGGGTATTTGTTTGTATCCCCCCTTTTTTTTCCTAGAAAAAATCTAATTTTTGTAAATAGAATGTGTTGTATTCCGTGTCTATTGGTAAGATTAGGGACAGTGACAAGCCGTAGCACGAGCTATTTCAGTATAAAAGTGATGTATAAAATACAATTATCTTGTCTTCTGTTATCACGTTGTACTTTTGGTGGATGATCCTTGTCACTTTGTACTTTTGATGGATAACGATCATTCTCACGTTGTACTTTTGTGGATGATGATGGTTATCACGTTGTGCTTTTGATGGATGATGATGGTTATCACGTTGTGCTTTTGATGGATGATGATGGTTATCACGTTGTGCTTTTGATGGATGGTGATGATGGTTATCACGTTGTGCTTTTGATGGATGGTGATGATGGTTATCACGTTGTGCTTTTGATGGATGGTGATGATGGTTGTCACGTTGTATTTTTGATGGGTAATGATGGTTGCCACATTGTACTTTTCATATATCGGAGAGTGCGCTAGCACTTTATGTAGGGATGGCACGGACACCGTATTAAAGCAGTACACAAGTCATCTGGATTTTCTTCTCTACAGATCATCAGAAGCTGAATGTGAAGAGCTACTTGGTACACTCGTTCTATCTGCGTTGCATGTGCCGCTTTCCAGCTATCCAGAGCGTCCCAAAGTCGAAAACCGACGAATAGCCAAAACCGAGATTTCTTACTTTCGTTCACCTTAATCTTTCTTCAACAATCTTCTTACCTAGTTCTAGCTGTAACTGTAATTTGATCATCATTTGATAGAGCTAAACAGTCTTCACGATCTTTGACTACCTATTTTATTATTATTATATGCAAAATTTATAAAGCTGTAGAATACATTCTATAACCTAGTAACCCACGTACGCCATTTTATAAAAAAAGTAAACAAACAAGTATTAGGAAAAATTATCGCTAAATAAAAAAAACTATGTAGGGCTGGCTGCTGAACTTTAAAAAAGGAACCAAACAAGATAGGGATGGAAGTGGACATATCACTTAATCGGCTTATGATCACATAGCAGACTAAACTGCCTCGACTTTACATGGAGAATAAGATCTGTACATTGTAAAATAACGTGATTATGACGTGGTTAATAATAACAAATATACATGACAGGAAATGTGAAAGTGAAGTGTGAAAAGTGCAATAAGATGTTGCAAACCCGGATGGAGGCACATGTGGTCGAAATCGGAGATCATTACTTTATATACAAGTACAATAATACTGTTGCTTTGTTTTAGTAGTTTGTTTTATGAACAATGTTTTATTTATTAAGCATTAAAACTTTGGTAAATCTCCTGTCTGTTCTTTGTTTTAGTGCGAATATTTTTAGGTGTACTTAACTAATACTTACCATAATTACGATTTGTAAACGACTTAAATAAAATTGATAATAATTACATTTCACTTCTTTAATCTAGTTCACACTGTAAAAGTTGTTGTTTATGCAATTGATAATATAGATAGTGCCTAGATCACTACTATGTCTGTTGTGTGCCAGCTAGCCTGATGAGCCTTGGTATTATACGAAAGGCCTAGTCGACACTGGATATAGCAGACATAGCGTGGTTGACACGTTGTTGCATATTTGTCTCTGCTTTCTCTCTCAAATTCTTGAATCGTACTAACATGCGAATGTTATTCGGCGTAGTGATTTTCATGAACCACAAAACGTCCGAAAAAGTAAGTACGATGGAGATAAATGTTACGTCAAAACGGAGTTACGAGTGTAGAAGATTACACCTTACTAAGTACGCTGAAACTTAGTTCAGAACCTTCACGACCTTACTGAGGGCGCTACAATATGTCTCAGAACTTTTAGGAATTTACTAAGGGCGCTGTGTACGTCTTGGTAGAATGTTGTTATTCTTTAGCCGAAATTGTGTCATTTAAGTCAGAATGTTATGTTTTATGACTACTGTCTATCAGTTAGTCTGAAGATCAGATTTATGACACCTAAACATTCTATTCCATTATATCTGTTGTGAACAAATAATAAAAATCCTTGACTCACCTACTGAATAAGTGATAGTACTATTTATCTTGAACCAAAAATTACAAACTTTGTGCAGTTTGGATCCAATTACGTGAATGATAATCATTGTAATTATGCGCATCATTTTATTGTTTGTTTCTTTGTAGTTAAGTGCAAAGCTACACAATGGGACATCTGTGCTCTCCCTACCACGGGTATCGAAACCCGGTTTCTAGCATTGAAAGTCCGCAGACCTGCCGCTGTGCCACTGGGGGCACATCATTTTATATGCAAGGTGTTTTTAGCTGCATTTTACTATTTTACTCACCAGAGTGAATTTATTTTTATCTATAGGTTTTGAAGAATTTGAGGATCGGTATTAATCAAAACCGGTATAACTCGGTGGAAAGTGGTGAAACGAATAATAAATCTGGCGTCATATATGTATTTTTAGTATTTATGTATCATATTTCGGGGTACGATTATAATAATATTGCACACCATGGCTTACGTTGTCGAATGATGATATAATAACGCATATCTTGTATGCTGTTACTGAGATATAGACTAGTTGTTAAAGCACTATATACTCTAGATACAGCTGTTGAATAATTATTTAGTACCACATAATTACTAGCGTATAGCCCATCAAAAATAACGGGGCAGGTACTACCACCCCCACCTCATATTATACCCTAACCTCACATTTCAAAGCTAACTGAAATAAATAAATTTGCGAAATCAAGCTTGACCAACAAAAAGGCAGAAAAGTGCAGTCGAGGCAGTCAAACGTCGGTAAATTCCATTGTGAGCCAATCAAAATTAAGATCATTCATGAAATGAATTTGTGGCGTATTCATAAAATATTTATTGGTAAAAAATCAGTTAGATTAACAACTTCTACTATGTAGAATAGCCAGTGCGTTCTGGTAACACTACGTTTCAACAATGGTTTTTATGTGATGTTGCATTACAACAAAGGTATAACCTAATATTGTTGTTAGTCTATTTACTGAAAGTATAAAAATGAAATGTATAAACAACAACAACAAAAACGAAAAAAACGAAAAATATGTGTTGATTTCTTAATTTAGAGTCTCCGTTGATTAAAGAGGTTTGTTTTTTGATTAAAAACGTTGGTAATATGACAGAAGATAGCTTAATTCCAAAACGATTTAAGTTTAAAATTAAATTGATATTTTTACTTTCATGATAAATGTTATAAACTTGGCTCTAGGCTAGGTGATCCCAAACTTCGTCTTTACTTTAGGCTTATTATACCAATACTCACTACACTTATAAAGTTTCACGGGCTCTTCCACCCCCGTTACTAAAATCGTAATAGGCAGACGGTAATCGAACTATTCTATCTGGATAAATGCATTTAAGCTTTTGTAACTCATATTTCGAGAAATCAAGCGTGGCGTGACACACACTGGCTTTTATATAGTTAGGCAGCACTACATAACCTTGATCCATTTGCTGATTGGTGATAATTATATTATCATCTTAGATTCGGCTGCCGAATAATAGTTATAGTGCTACGTATTATGGATTTAGCTGCTTGATGATAATAATAAATACAGTACCATATCCAGGATTCAGTTGCTGAATGATAATAATATAGTACCAGATACCCAATTGTGAAATTTTGTGCTTAAACAAATAAAAGAAATAGAGAATTCTGAATCTAGAAAACACGCGTTTTGGCTTTTCAACTTTTAAGTTTTGCTTTCATGTGGCTTATGTTACTTTGAGTTAAACTTACAAATCTATTTGTTTCTATGTGAGAATAATAGGTATGGTTCAAAGTGGATAATTCAACTCTTCTTGAAGACATCTTTTAAGTACTAACAAGTATCTGTATTTTTCCATCAGAAACATTACTGACTAAAAACCAGATTGTCCCTATTCTGCATTTTGAATGGCTTAGAAATTAGAATTAAATGAGACAACTTACAATGTTTTAAGTGCATCAGCCAGTGTAAGCCACCGTAGATTTTAAGTTAATATACGAGAACAGCAAAAACGTATTGTGTTTTATTTATTTTATATACAGGAGGCACGCTGTTGTGTTTTATTCTATTTATAAGAAGCACATTGTTGTGTCTTACTCTATACTAGCTAGAGTACCCGTCCCCTGAACGGAAGTTTTGTAAATTCATGATTAATGAAAGGTTATCTTAGGACATGAAAAGCTGCTTCCCTTATATGTAATTGTAAATAACGCAAAAATCTTGAAAACACAAAATGTGAAACGGCATGTTTGCATGGATCTTCGCATAGATCCAACAAACCTGCACGAGAAATTTGGTGAAGATTCATCAACAGGGGGCGAAGTAGTGGTAAAAAACGCCCATAAAATCTTGAAAACACAAAATGTGAAACGGCATGTTTGCATGTATCTTCGCATGGATCCAACAAACCTGCACGACAAATTTGGTGAAGATCCATCAACAGGGGGCGAAGTAGTGGTAAAAAAAAAACGCCCATAAAAACCGCAAAACTGAAAATTTGTATGTGTCTTCTCATTGACCCAATGAACCTCCATACCAAATCCATCCACAGGAGGTGAGGTAGAGATACAAAACGTAAAAAACGCCCATTAAAAAACGCAAAATGCAAAACTGAAAATTTGTATGTACCCCCGCATGGACCTAATGAACCTCCATACAAGTTTTGGTGAAGATCCATCCAAACCCATCGAAGTAGTTACATGGACATACAACAAACATTTATATTTATACAGGAGACATACTGTTGTGTTTTAATGAATATGGATGATAATGATTATAGTACCACGTATTCTGGATCCATCTGCCGAATAACTATGATGATAAAAAACCGACTGAGAAATTCTAATGCTTGGTTAGCTTTGTGTGGACGCAAACTTATAGCAAGTTAGTGATTTCCTAAAGTAAAAGTGGAAATCAACTTGGATTCAAACTTTACTCTTCACATCAATGATTTATTTGGACAGAAACTGGCAGGATTTTGAAATTGTCTTCTTGGTTCGCGTACGTTGCCGCAAAAACGCGCTTTGAATTTTGAGTGTATGGGTGCGCTAGAAGAGTGACAGTTAATCGTTGCAAAAGCACTGTCAAGCCTTCGTAAGCCTAATGTAGCAACGTCTGATGCATTCAGTTTTCATCAAAGCTATTAAAAAAAGAATGTTTGATTGAAACACTTCAAAATAATAAAAGTTTTTTTTTTACTTAAATATATTATTCCGCTTATTTATTCTTGATTTTTAAATTACCTCCACGTTCTCTGTGTAACCATAAAAACCTTTAAACTAAGATAATTTTGTTTTATATTTGTAAATTTAATCAATATGTTCTGTTAAGTTTTAAATTGACCATTGAAGTGGGAGAAGTAAGAAGTATTGATCTAAATATAATAGTATTGTCTGTTATATGTCCATGTAACTACTTCGTAGGGTTTGGATGGGTCTTCACCAAAAATTGGTATGGAGGTTCATGCGGGGGTAAATACAAATTTTCAGTTTTGCGGTTTTTATTGGCGTTTTTGCGGATTTTTACCACTACCACACCACCTCTAGATGGATCTTCATCAAATTTAGTATGGAGGTTCATTGGGTCCATGAAGAGATACATACAAATTTTCAGTATTGTTGTTTGCGGTTTTTATGGGCGTTTCTTACCACTACTTCGCCCCATGTTGATGGATGTTCACCAAATTTAGCGTGAAAGTTTGTTAGGTACATGCGGAGATACATGCAAACTTGTGTTTTTTTACAATTACATATAAGGGAAGCAACTTTTCATGTCATTAATCATGAATTTACATAACTTCCATCCAGGGGATGGGTACTCCGACTAGTTTAGTAATAAAGTATCGGAACCTGCCCTAGGCCTGTACGAACTTTGTATTCGACACTCCTGCACCTGTAAAATTGACAAGAAATGACAATTGTAATATCAGTTTTGGTGTCCATCGGGGTTGGCCCGGCATGGCCAGGTGGTTAAGGTGCTCGACTCGCAATCTGAGGGTCGTGGGTTCGAATCCCCGTCACACCAAACATGCTCGCCCTTTCAGTCGTGGGGGCGTTATAATGTGACGGTCAATCCCACTATTCGTTGGTAAAAGAGTAGCCCAAGAGATGGCGGTGGGTGGTAATGACTAACTGCCTTCCCTCTAGTCTTACACTTCTAAATTAGGGACGGCTAGCGCAGATAGCCCTCGTGTAGCTTTGCGCGAAAATAAAAAAAACAAAAACAAACAAACCATCGGAGTTAGGGCGCTCTGTGTGGGGCACACGTCGTCTACCCAAATGGCTGGCAATGTCAAGTTTGATTTATATTTTCCAAATTAAGTTATAATGTTGTGGCGCTCACTTAGCGCGAGTGGGTCTTATATATTTATCCGTATTTTAAAGACACGATCTCTTCTTTTCTTATGCTTATAATCAAAGTGTTTGATTTTGCTTACGTGTCTGTTTAATAATTCCAGTTGTCGACAAAGCGCGAGCTCTTCTTCCGCTCAGATGGAGGGACTTCTGCCACGAGCACAACAACGTCTGATGTTAAATCCACAGTCAATACTCCATATTCTTCATCAAGGCTGACGAATTCTACGAAAGAAATCAATCTAAGTAGGGAGAAAGACAGAGAAAGGGAGAAGGACACGTTGAAGGAGAGAGAGCGGGAGAAGGTTTCTCCTAAAGACATGGAAAGCTACGTGGGTTTTGTCAATTTGCCTAATCAAGTGTACAGAAAAGCAGTGAAGCGAGGGTTTGATTTTACCCTAATGGTTGTCGGTAGGTTTTCCGGAATTTCGTAATGTATTATTATTGAATGAATAACAGTGATGCTATTATCGTGTATTTTTTACAGGTATTCATATTTTATTCTAATGAAATGTTCACCAGATTTAGCTTATATTTTATGATGTTTATTAGACCTACAGACATTAGTCCAAAGGGTCGACAGTTCTTTCGTTAAATGTTAGGCCTTCAGACATTAGTTCTAGGAATCGCCTGCTCTTTTAGTTATTTATAAGGTCTTTTGTTTAGGAATCGGGCATTAGCTGGAAATATCAGTGTACTTTTAGCTTTGGTTATTAATATGTTTGTGTGTGTGTGTGTGTTTTTAGCTGTTAGGCTGACAAGTCAGTAGGAAGTTGATACATAATTGTAGTTAACCTATGTTTTTAGTCAGTAACCTAAAAAAAAGTTAAATAACGAATGAACAAGATGTATGTCTAGCATGTTGACGGTAAATATTTGACAATGGCGAATTTCTACTTCCTTATTATTCATTTTTGTTGTTGTTTAAAATTATTTCGGAAAAATGTGTACGTAAATAATTAAAATAAGTGTTTCAGTATTCGTAACAGTTTCTATTGCCCCCCAGTGGCACAGCGGTATGTCTGCGGACTTACAACGCTAGGAACCGGGTTTCGATACCCGTGGTGGGCAGAGCACAGATAGCCCTTTGTGTAGCTTTGTGCTTAACTATAAAGAAACAAATAGTTTCTACTTTTTCTCTTAAAAACTGAGTTTGAAAGTGTATTGTCTTTTTTGTGTTCTGTATCAGTATTCCGGGATTGCCAGCGTTTTTCACGATATGCAAAGGCGAGTTTTGTTTTCAAGAAGGGGGAATAAATGTTACAGAAAGTTAAATGGATAAAAGTTATAGATGTTTAAAAATTGCACTCATACTGTAAGTTTCTATTTTATTAGTAGTGACTTAAGTGTTTAGATAAAATTGTACCCCAAGTTTTGAAATATAAAATAACTTCAGTAGTTTTATTTGTGTAGCACACATCCCACATTGTCTCAAATGAAGAATAATTATTGTATAAGTCGTTACACCTATTCTCTAATTAAGTGAGTCGTGGGGGAACTGGCTGGTTTAATATCATTGTCAAACAGCTGCTCGGAATACTAGTCAATACACATGGTTACCAATCCCTCGTAAGTATGTTTAGCCTACTGGTAGTGAATTTATATATATATATATATAGCTTATTT